GCACGAGCTAAGGTGATCCAACAGTTGCTCACATGGAATACCTGCTTCGACCACCTTTCGGCCGGGGTGGTTGACAGGCTCCTCCTGAGCTCTAGTTATTTTAAGGAAGGGGGAGATGTCACACGCCATTATTTCCGGGTTCTTCATGCCCTACATGAATCCCGGGCTTGAGTCCGCCAGTGACGGTGGTTTGCGCTTGCGCAGATGAGGCGCTTGGTTCGTCAGAATGACGCAGGCCGGCATTGACCAAGAGAAATGGGCCACGTCACCCGAGAGGCTATAAAAGGCAGGCTCGCATCCGGCTCGGGGTCTTTCCGCCATCTTGAAGAATGTAGAAGAAACTCCAATAAAGCGTGCTTCAGAAGAATCCTGAGTGTTGCGTGCTCCTTGCTGGCGAGGTGCGCGTGACAAAATCAGACAGCAATTCTGTTTCTTCAATTTCCAAGTATAGGACAGGGGAGTGGGCCTGGAATCACTGTACTCATAACCAACCATCCAGCCTACACAGGCTTACTCTCCTTAAGGGAGTTTCCCTCAACATCTTTCCTGTTCAAGGCCAAGTGTGCCTAGGAATCACACTAGTCCCCTTGGTTGTGGGCCCTGCAAACCCGGGCTTAGGTGGCAATCTGCAGGCCTGCCTGCTCTCCCCAGCACAGGGTGCCACTAGTGCTGGCAACTGCTGCTGGAAGCATCTCCCTCTGAACACTGGCCACTGTGCCTTTCCCTGAGGCAGATCCCAGGCCCGAAGAACTCTATGTCAGTGCTTGTGGCACACAGTGCAGCCCTGTCCCATTCCACAAATGGCTGACTAGATCTTCATCCCCAACTCCACCCTGGAGGATAAGCCACACAGCAGGTCTGGGACCTCTCAACAACTGTTTCCCCTTTGTGCCTCAATCAGGGAAAGGACTGCAGAGCGCAGGAAGGGAGAGCCCTGCCCCTTTCACCTTCAACCCTATCACTGCACAGACTCCAGCGGCACCTACAAGAGCTGGCACTGTGCCCAGAGCACTTCTTTCTCTACATTGAAAGCCTAAGTAACTCCACTTTTTCTCTTCTTTCTGCTTTGTTTTACCACCAATTACTCAATCCCTTGGTGGATTCTTCTCTCTGAAATGACCCATGAGTGGAAAGAGTTACACAAGACTAAAAATACACCTATCACCTGTTAACTGAGGCTGTGACACAGCAGCACAGGATGGGATGAGAGTGTTCTCTGCCCTTACCAAACTTTTCAGACACACACTGGCAACTGTCTGGAGTGAGCCAGCAAGAGCGCCCCTTCCAGCACCACCACCTGCTCCACCTCTGGCAGCTACCCAGAAGTTTGCTACTCAAATTTGCTAGTCTAACACCATGAGCAACCAAAAGATACAAAAAACAAGTATTATAGAAAGCAACTGTCTTTGTAAGCCATGCTTTAAATAAGTAATGTAAAAAAGAATAATCACTTTGCTCTGAAAGTTTTTCAGTACTAAAAACCAGCAAGTTTCCTAAATGTTGACATAATGTAAAGATAACAGTTCCTATAATCATCAGTTCTGAAGAAGCTGTCGTCAATTACACAACTGACTTTTTTAAAAAAGAGTTGAGACTGAGACAAGTGTCCCACCACTGAGCTAGCTACATTACCAGCCTTTTTAATTTTTATTTTGGTACACTAAGTTGCCCAGCCTAATCTCAAACTTGGGACCCTCCCGCCTTGGTCTCCCAAGTAGCTCAGATAACAGGTGCTTATCACCAAGGCTGGCCATAAATGCCAATCTTAATGACAATTATAACAATGACTCTGAAATGAAAATCCAAAACAGTGATCAGACAATGGCTCCTACTGTGCAAAAGCATGGATATAACAAAGGAAGATGAAGCACTTTTTTCTGGGCTGAAGTAGGTATTCAGCATCAGTAACCTGAACCTAACATCAGTCAGGACTAATCCAAAGTCCATACTCTGCTGCAGACACATGTATCAGTCTGAACTCAAGCAGACTTATGGGAAAGGGTGTCATTAAATCCAGAGAAAAGCTACACCACGGCATCCCTGCTCATGAAGAGGGCAGGCGTGGTGCCTAGTAACACTCCTAATGGCTGAGTGCAATGATTGCTATGGCTGAAAATTCTTAACAGAAAGCCAGAAAAATCCCAAAATAACTCTACACTGCCATTTCAATGTTCTAAACAATCCCAGAACTGCAGCATATTAGCAAACAGTTATACAGAAATACAACAAGAAATTCTAGCTAAGTAACTTTTATGACAATCATTAAAACTATAGCAATATATACAGAATATTTACAGTCAAATGTACATAACACGATCCACTTAGTCTTAAAACTACTATGTGAAGGCTGGGGATTTAGCTCAGTGGTGCCAATGCCTGCCTCGCAAGCACAAGGCCAGTTTGATCCCCCATATCCCTCTCCCTCAAAAAAAAAAAAAAAAAAAAAAAAAAATAAAAAAAAAAAAAAAAAACAAAACTACTGTGACAAAACTGTGGAAACGAGCCCACACACAAGTGAGTGCTCTATCACCAGGTCGACAGCTGCAGGAAGAGGACCACTGTAAACACATTTAACAAACTGGAGCACTGTGGAAAGTCCAGCTGCTTTAACAAGCCACACAATAACTTTTATGAGTTAATACAGTAGAGGCAAATGAATTCTTAGGACATTACTTAAAAAATAAATTTTTAAAGATGAAGGTCCCAACTCATCTTTATATACACACGCAAAGCTGATGCATCACAGACTGCAAATGCTAGACATACTAGTTTCCAAGAGCAGCCTGCACATTTAGAATTTATGATTAAAATGCACAGAGATCGCTGTCAAGTCTGAGATGGATGTTCAAATCTGCACAGGACGGAGCTGCCCCAGTGCCTGCGAACTTACTGCTGCTTCTCAAAGGCAAAGACCAAGTAAATACCTGGGGAGGAAACAAAGGAGTCAGGTTAGCTCCTCACATCCCCAGAGTGACAACACAACAATCTCAACACTTCGTTAATTTTAAAAGTTCTATTATTTGAGTCATATTTAGGCAGATATGGAATCATTTATGTTTACTTTAAAACAAGTATCTATCTAGTGTAATAAAGAAAATGCAGGCCATGGAAATGCCAATTCAGTTGCTCTCAAAATCCCCAACAGTGGCGTAAGGTAAGAAAACCTAAAAGTATAAAAGCAAAGAAAACTAAAAAGCACTGTATGACTCAAATCTTTTTACGTGGCACAAAGGAGGTAGAATTATTGCATAACAAGAAGCAATAACTTAAGTTTTCTATTGAAAAACTTTAAAACTAACGTTTATTTTTAACTTATACAGGGAACACAAAATGTAAAATTAGAATAAATATGAGGAACACATAACATGACAAAGCAAAATCCACTCAGTTACCTCACCGCTGCTGGGCTGCTGACAAGGAAAGGAACACGGCTAAGAGATGCTCAAAGAACCTGGGTACCTGCCATGGTGGTGATGCTTCTGCAAGCAGCCAGCCCTAAAGGTGGTGCCTCCAACAAGGCAGGCAGTGCACGCCACACAAACGGGTAGGGAACAAGATTCCCAGTGTGCATCATATGAAGTCTACCCTGCCACATCTGGTAAGACACCCAGACTGCATGGCAAGAAACGCCTTTGGAAGGTGACTAATTCTTAAAATATTAAGCTGCTCAGGGCATGCACTAGGATACTCTATAGCAATCAAGACAAAGGCCACATAAGCGGAGCTGAATTTGAGGTGGGACACACAGATGAAGGACTGAGACAGCTTCCCAAGCCTTCCCTCTTTCAATCCATCCCATACAGCAGTGCTGCACCAACCTCACAAGACACTATGTGGGCCACGGCGCTGAGCTACTCCTTACTGACCACTTCACTCTGTCCAGTGAGATAACTGGCTGTCAGCACAGGCTGACATACACAGAAGAGGCTCTCAGCTCTAGAGTCAAAGACTACTCACCTAGGCCTACCTAGTGCTCTCCTGCAGTGCCACCCTGCTCACTCCACCTAGCCATCCCAAGCCACTGCAAACCAGCCCTCAGCACCCTCCTGTCCTAACGGAGGCTCAGTCACCTTCTTTACCAAAAGCTGGAGTATGATTTGAGATGCAGTCAGCAACCCACTAAACTTCTCAAAGTCCGCTCACAGCAAGGATTTCCATGAGGTAAAATAATGGCCTTGGGCTGGCCGCAGGTTCTCTGGCTGCTCCCTCACCTGCGGGAGACATATGACAACCACAGTGTGCTCAGGAAGTGTGTCAGAGCAGAGACCCAGCTCCAGCAGCACCACCAAGTAAGTGTACAACACTCGGTGCTACCAACTTGTGTCCCTGCTCAGACTTCACACTTCATCACACTCTCCTTCACCTGTTGCACTTAAAAGTTTGGCTGGGAGTACATTTTACTGGTGTCTACTTCTTCCTAAACTATACAAGGAAGACTTGTTTGCTTTTTTATCCTCTGAAGTCCATTCACAGAATTTTATGTATGCCAGTATTTAAGTGTCTATTTAATAGTCTGTCTCTGCCACTCGTGCATCAGCATACGCAACAAACAACCATACAGGGGTAATGGGGTACACAGAAACACAGGGACATACGAGCCCCAAGGCACCCCATGAGGACTGGGATCCTCCCGAGTGAGGCTCCGCTGGAGACCCGCCAGGCCTCAGGCTCTCCACGAGGCCTTCGCATCCTGCCTGTTTGCACCCCTTCCTGCTGCCTCACTCAGCACCTAGCACTGTACCCTCACATCAGCATCAGCACAGCACAGCTCTGATTAGGAAAACAGCAAGTTTCGTGTAAGCCACTGAGTCCAACGGAAAGCCAAGGCAGACACCAGATGGAGACAGCATACAGGACATGCAGGCAGTGAACACACTCCACAAGTTCCTGGTCCATAGACTGCATGGCTTCCTCATCACCACACAGCTGAGCAAGAAAGGGGGTTAGATTCACAGGGGCAAAGGCATACAGTGCGTAAACACACACAACCCGAAACATGCCAGAGAAACTCCAGGACCCTAACGAGTTCTCGGGTAGCCTGCACTGATGATACTCACTTGTAGCTTCCCATTCTGATTTACTCAGGGTTCCCTGAAATTAGAAAAAGAAAATGTTAGATTCAATATGGAAATAAGCATATGCTTGTTTTTCAACTGTGGACTGAGGTGGCCAACACCCCCTGGCTTCTTTGAATGCACGTATTTTACTGTTTACTGAATTGTGATCCGGGCCTAACGGAATGCCACCTTCTCTCCAGCACGCCTTCTCACCCTCACCGACAGAGGGAGGAGAGAGAGGGGAAAAGAGAGAGGGAGCCAGAAAGAGGGGAGAGAGGGAGAGGGAGAGACTGAAAGAGGCATCCACCTTAAAGTTTTAACTTGGAAAATGACTAACATTCTCATGTTTTTCTGAACAAGCCACAAAGTCAATACATATGATAAAAAGAAAATGAATTATATTAAAACGTTTCAACATGTTCACATGTAGGCAGCACTGTACATGCCATCTACGTGACAAGAGCCCACGGGAGCTCTAGAACCTAAGTGCCTGAAGAACTGACCAATATGAGCACTGCTGTAGGACATCAGTGAAGTATGCCATGAGAATAATTTCTACTGATGACAAAGTCACAGCTACAGCTGACATCAGGCGTGGTTACATAATTTTATTTTTATTTTTTTCGTACTAGGGATCGAACTCAGGTCCTTGTGCTTGCAAGGCAGGCAGCGGAACCACTGAGCTAAATCCCCGGCCCACATCATAATTTTGTAAGAGGTGAACTTTCACACAGAAATTAGAAGGAAGATGTACCTTTCCCCCATTGAAGTTCACAAAGCTCTGAATTCTACCTTGGAACACTGAGTCACCTGTGGCTTGAAGAGCAGGGACCCTTGCAACACAAGCCTCTTGCTTTCCCCCAACTGTACATACGCTTCAGACGTGGCACTCTGCCCTTGGTTCATGGAAACAAATTTATTCTATGCAACATGGCATCAAAAGTCTTTTGAAATTAAGGGAAACAGACTATTGTACATCTGATTTGAAATTCAGAGAGCCTAAGTATGAAAAACAAGCAACCTCTGAAATCTCCATATAACATGCTTTGTCTCCATTCCCTATAAAATATTTTCAAAAATGAAAACTCACCAGTGGCAATCTCACTTGAGTATTCTTCATGAATGCCGCTGCGTGCTCGTAGTCACCTGCCTTCTCAGAGTTAAGTTTAGAGTTCTCATTTGCAGGGTATGGCTGGGGAAGCAAAATTCCCAGTCAAGATACTGTATTACACTGAAATTTACAATTTAGAATTGAACAGCATAAACCACTGAAATAAAATAAGAATAAACTCTAAACATTATTTCAAGACTACAAGCAACACATTTTTGAAATATGGAAACAAAAGGGCAAGATCAAGAATTATGTTGTAAAGTAACTACTATGATCAGCTTTTATCACAGTCTTGGAACACACACCATGAAAATAAACTGTGCAATTTAATTACAACAAAAGGTGGTCATTTGGCAGCATACACCAATGCTGGTCAAGAGCTGCTTGTTATAACAGAAGGCTTAAAGAACGTATTCATTAAGAGCTAAGTATTAATATGATGGTAATTCAATGGCCTTATAAACAGCAATTATAAATAATATAAAAAGTCAACAGAGAACCTCATTTGATAGAACAAAAGATGTGGGTTCAAGAAGGAAAATAACTAAAAAAACTGTTGTTTCAAATCCAGTGTTATGTTAACCCATTTTAAGTACAGTCAATTCTCTTTGTATGAAGAAATATTTTCCCTAATACATAACTCAAACCAGAAGTTACATAAAATATTTAATACAACAACTATTCCTAGTTCTAAGATATAGGAAACACAATCACTTTATTGATTACAGGTTTCAAAAGACAACTTAAGATTTAAAGAAAATCTTCCCACTATAACTCTGACGGGGAACTTTTGACTACCATCTATGAAAGCAAAGACTATAGAGTTAACAGCTCTGTGACTCTGAACAACTCACTGTCTTGTCTAGGTCCCAGTGCCATTTAGAAGTCATGAAAAGTGACCACTCTACCCACTTCAGGGAGTAATCAGAGCAATTAAGACACAGTATGCTTAATGTACCAGAGGATATTCTAAATCAAATAAACACTGAAGTTTAATGCTCATCTGAGGAGTGTAATTCTTTATCTGATTCTGGTCAGTAACAAACACATGAGCTGGTTATTTTAGATCTCTTCGATTAAGCATTGCTGGGTAGAGGAGAAAAGCAATCTTGCATTGTGTGCTGCAAGTCTCCCTTCCCCACTGTGCATGGTCCAGGACAGCAGGTTTCAGTAGCACACTCCACAGGACTAACGTCTTGGCTGTCATCAAAGAACAATTACGAGTGGTCGAGCTTGGCATGGACCCTAGCCAGGAAGGTTCTAAAGTATGGATGTGCTCAGCAAGTAAGCACTTCTCAATTGGGGGTAAATGACCCAGCAGATATGTGTCCACAGCTGTCACAACTGAGGCACAGGAGAGCAATCAGCAGGCACGGGCAGGGTGAGGCCAGGAACCATACAGAGCAGCATCTTCCAGCCCTACTGTCAGTGAAAGGGAAAACCTGTTTCAAAGCAGCTCCTCTCAGAAAACAGGATTAGACCACTGAATCATTCACCTACCAGATATTTACTGAACACCAGCCATGGAAATATCTGGGTCTGGCTCTTCCTAGGAGCCAAAGAGTGTACCTAAACAGCCCTAGAAGGAACTCAAAAAGAGCCAAACATGTTCACTATGATTTGGGATTGTTTCACATTTTCTAAGTACTCACCTCTAGGGCCTGCATTCGTTTTAACAGCATTTTATTTTCATTGTTCTTAATCTTTTCTTCAAAGAATTCCATAAATGTTTTTTTGTAGACTAGTTTCATACTGTACTTTTTCAGCATTCTGTTCAAAAAAGATTACATAGTGAAAAGACTTCCAAACGGTTATGATTCCTCAATAGCTTACTTTGCTATAACAACAGCAACATCTGGACTTAACTAAAAAAGCCACCATTTCCTTCATAAATGGACAACAAAGAAATGCAAAATGAGAAGCAATCACCCTACACTAGAAACATTCTAAATCCCAGAGGCAGCACACAGCTCTCCCTGCACAGCTAACAGGTGAGGAGGTACAATGAAAGCCAGCCTCGGGGAACTGTAAGATGCGGCAAGGTTGAGGGGACATTTTCCAATTGATTCCGTTCTATTCTATTTCATCCCCCAGAGCTGCACAGATAAGAGCTGCCAATTTCCTTCTTAAAAGATTCACTTGCATCTCCCATATTCTTTTCATTTTTACCTTACATCTTGGGTTGGTTCTCTGCAGTGACACAAAGCTGGGTTTTTTGTTTGTTTTTTACCTAACTTCTAAATCCCAGGTTTTGAATTCTTGGGTCTGGGTAATCATCCTTACACTAGGAGGTCTGCTCTCTTTGGTCACATGCATTAACTCCACTGCTTATCAGACCTGTCCCATGTGTGTAAAAGACATTCTCTAACTTCTCATGTCCAAGGTTCAACTTTACAAGATTGTTTTTGCTGTTCTCCATTACTGCAGTAAACCTATCTCCCTCTTCTAAGTCCACAGCACGCCAAGTTCTCCAAAAGAAGTTCACCTCCTACTCTGTCAGCCACTATCCTGCTCCAGTGGCCACCACCATCTGGCTGGCCATGCCACTCCAGGAATCTCTTGACTTGCTCCCTGCCTTCTAATATTAAAGTCCCTCAAGAAATGTTTCAAATGCAGATTAAGCTTCCAAAAATACAAGTGTGGTCAATATCATGACCCAACCTGAGACACACAATTCAAAAGCTCTGAATGCGGCATCTGCCAGGGATGCGGCCTCCATTCATGAAGTTGGGTGCCTGGCTCCTTAAGATGCAGTCACAGCGGTTTCCTTCTGCTTCTGTCCCACTCTGGGACCTCACACACTGTCCGTTCCCATTGTCCACCTCCCACTCATCCTGTGCATCCTGACCGAAACACCTCTTCTCTCCAGGTGTCCTCTTGAAGACGTCACTGCATTAGGCCTCCCGTTACACTCAGGTGCGCTTTTCTTAACGCATCCGCCAAATGTAAAAGCATGGTCTGCTGACCACATGAGGGAGCCAGGAGATGGCTTCAGGAGGCAGGGAAAGAGTGATGGAGGAAGAGAACAACCTTCACAAGGCAAAGGAAGGCTTGCATAGGAGGGACCTGTGAGCTGAGGGGCTGGTGTGCGAAGAACACGGGACAGGCAGGGCTTTTAGGCAGCCCTCCATGAAAGACAGCACGAGCAAAGGCCAGTCTCTTCTATTCCACACAGCTCCAACAAACAGCTTCAGATGTAAAACCAAGTTTGATAATGCAAAAATGTCACAATTTCAAGGAACCCAAGTTAGGTTTTGCAGTAAAAGCTGATTATATTTTTGTTCAGTTTTAATGAAATGTAAAAGGGCCTTTATACATTTTCCGATTCTATCTCACCAAATAGCTGTTATAATGAATAATTTTCCTCTAAACAAAAATAAATAAATTTCTTAAAAATTAGATATTAATGTCAAGACTTCTAACTTTATAAGTTTATCATTAGACAATGTAAGTAGAAAAGATTCCTTAGCATTTAAAAAAATATTCTTTTGGGCTTACTAAAATCATCAACTATGTGAACCAAAACCACAAAGCTAACATATTAAACATTATGGCAAACAACTGTTTAATTGTTTCTTTTACGAAGTTCAGTAATAACGTTTTTCCAGTTCATTAATTTAAATAACATTTAAATACATATATTTTAATTTTATAAATAACATATTTATAAAATTGTGCATATTATTTTCCTCATGTTCCCTTACAATGCTTGTTTGTTTGTTTGTTTGTTTGTTTGTTGAGACAGGATCTCACTATGTAGTTGAGACTGACCTGGAACTCACTAGGTAACCCAGGTCTAATTCACAGTGATCCTCCTGCCTCAGCCTTCCCGAATGCTGGGATTACAGGCATGCGCCACCACGCCCAGCTTCACTCACAACGTTACTTGGCTTTCTTATGCTATTGTTATATCCACCATTTTACAAGATGAGTCCCAATTCAAATAATCACCAATCAAAACTAAACAATAAAGCTCTTGCCCTTCCCAGTCAATAGCCAAAGTAAGATTTCTGCTTTTAAAAAGCAGTAAATCAAGAGTCATATTGAGACAGGCTCACTATGTAGTTGAGACTGACCTGGAACTCACTAGGTAACCCAGGTCTAATTCACAGTGATCCTCCTGCCTCAGCCTTCCCGAATGCTGGGATTACAGGCATGCGCCACCACGCCCAGCTTCACTCACAACGTTACTTGGCTTTCTTATGCTATTGTTATATCCACCATTTTACAAGATGAGTCCCAATTCAAATAATCACCAATCAAAACTAAACAATAAAGCTCTTGCCCTTCCCAGTCAATAGCCAAAGTAAGATTTCTGCTTTTAAAAAGCAGTAAATCAAGAGTCATCAGCCATGATGGGCCTCTCATCCTCTTCTCAGCAGGGAAACCCCAATGCCAGGGTGTATCACAAGGCCTTGTAGCCTTATCTGATAAAGCCCAGTGCCCCCAACTCTTCCTAATGTCTACAGTTTGCCAGGAAAACTAAGAATTCAGAAGCAGAACTACACTTCTATCAACATTGCTAGTGAGATTGAGGCAGATCAAAGATACTACTAAAAAAGTAAACTTTGGACACCTACCTCTATCAAAATAGGAGGACCTGATTTACAAAGAGTCACTTCATATTACCAAAGTTAGTAGCAGTCACTTAAAGAAAAGCTTTTGCTACTTGCAAGGTTTAGTACTTTCTGTAGCAAGGTGAAGGCAACTGATTCCTTTCGTATCCACAGGGTGAAATAATTTCCAGAAATGAAAGAAAATTAAGCAAGGCTTAAGAGGCCCACGGTACCAATGGTGGACCTGGGGTTACCATCTTTCCTTACAAGATTAGACTTCTTAGGGTGCCATTTAAAATATGCAATCCAAGCCGGGGATTCAGCTCAGTGGTTCCACCACCTGCCTAGCAAGCACAAGGTCCAGAGTTTGATCCCAGTACCAAAACAAACAAACAAAACAAACCCCAAAATTAAATATGGAATCAGTAGGAATAACGACTCATCCTTTTTCCTTTTCTTACAAGACAAAAAAAGAAAAAGAAAAGGAGATTAATGACATTCTTACTCAGTTAGCAGTGGAAAATAGACCAAGAATTCAGGGACATCCACAACACCTTCCAGGTTGAAGTCATATTTGCAGCCAAATAACGGATAATCTCCTTTCTTCTGAAATTTCACAGTATATATTTCATTTCCAAAGGATTCTGTTTCTGAAGCTTCAAGGCGTCTTCTATCAAAATAAAAAGATTACATTTGTGATTATCATACTTACTCTGATGAGATTATGTATGTTAAAAAACTAAATGATACAACTTAAAAAGACACCTGATTAGTTTTTGTTTTGTTTTTTTTTAATTTTATTGAGTTTATTCGTACATTTTAGGGATACAGTACAGTTACATTCATTGTTGGGATCTTGTACCTTTACATGGCAAGTCTTGATTCTCATTTTTTCCCCTTACCTCTACCCTCCCTTCACCCCCCCCTCCCCTCCCCATCTACAAACACTTTATTTTCATCTTTTCATTCTCTCACATTTTTTTCTTTTCCCTTTTTGTTCTTCCCCTACGTATCACACCTTCCCTACACCTTTAGCTCCTTTCCTCCCATTTCTAAATGTCAGTAATCTTATTAGAATCTTATGCATTGTTGCAGAATATTCACACCAGGGAAACTATTTGGTATTTACACATGTGGGACTTATTTATTTCACTTAGGAGTATATCTTCAATATGTATCCATTTTCCTATGAATGAATCTATTCTCTCGCTCTTTATGGCTGAGTAATATTCCATTTTATAGAAAAACCACAACTTCTTTATCCAGTTTCCAACGGATGGGCAAATAGGTTGTTTCCAAGATTTAGCTATTACAAACTGTGCCGCTATAAACATGGGTGCACATACTTCTCTGTGATATGATTCTTTTAGTTCTCTTGGAAAGATACCCAACAGAGGGATGGCTGGGTCAAATGGAACCTCCAGTCCAAGCTCTTTGAGGTATCTCCATATTGATTTCCATAGTGGTTGCACTAGTCTGCACTCCCACCAACAATGGAGGAGGGTTCCTTTCTCCCCACAACCCCGCCAACATTTGTTATTGTGTGATTTCTTGATAGCAGCCATTCTTTGTGGGGTGAGGTGGAATCTCAGTGTTGTTTTCATCTGCATCTCTCGAATGACCAGTGATGTGGAACATTTTTTCATATATTTTCTTGCTGCTTTCACTTCTTTGTATGAGAAATGTCTGTTCATTTCGGATGCCCATTTTTGGATCGGGTCTTTATATTTGGGGGGACTGATTGTTTTGAGTTCTTTATATATCCTTGATAATAGTCCTTTGTCTGAGGTACAGCTGGTAAAAATTTTTTCCCACATTGTAGATTGTCTCTTAGTTCTGCTAATGGTTTCTTTTGAAGTACAGAAGCTTTTTAGTAAGATGAGATCCCAGTTGTTGATTCTTTCTGCTAGTTCCCGTGCTACTGAGGATTTGTTCATAAAGTCTTTTCCTATACCAATGTCTTCCAGAGTTCTGCCTAACTTACTTTCCAGCAAGTTTAATGTTTCTGTTTTAATATTTAGATCTTTAATCCATTTGGATTTTAATTTAGTGCATGGCGAAAGATAAGGGTCTAATTTTAATCTGTGACAGGTTGATATCCAGTTTTTCCAACACCATTTATTAAAGAGGCTATCTTTCCTCCACTGAGGATGGTGAGCTCCTTTGTCGAAGATGAGGTAGCTGAGTACATCTGCATTTGTTTTTGTGTCTTCCAGTCTGTTCCATTGATCCTCAGGCCTATTTCTTTGCCAGTACCATGCTGATTTTATCACAGTGGCTTTGTAGTATAGTTTCAAATTGGGAATTGTTACACCTGGTGCCATGTGACTGTTGCCTATAATGGCTTTTGCTATTCTAGGTCTCTTGTGGTTCCAAATGAATTTTTGGATTCTTTTTTCTAGTTCTGTGAAATATAGTGTTGGAATTTCAATTGGCATTGCATTGAATGTATATAGCAGTTTCGGTAGTATGGCCATTTTCACTATGTTGATTCTTCCTACCCAGGAGCAGGGGATATCTTTCCATTTTTTTATATCCTCTTCGATTTCTTTTTTCAGAGTGCTGTAGTTTTCAGTGTAGAGATCTTTTGTTTCTTTTGTTAGATTGATTCCTAGATACTTCATTTTTTTGGATGCTATTGTAAAAGGAATTTTTTCCCTTATTTCTCTTTCTGTCTGTCTGTTATTTGTGTATAGAAAGGCTATTGATTTTTGGGTATTCACCTTGTATCCAGATACTTTACTGAATCTGTCAATTAAGTCTAGAAGTTTTTTGGTGGAGTTTTTTGGATCTTCAATGTAGAGTATCATATCATCAGCAAATAATGATAGTTTAACTTCTTCCTTTCCTATCTTTATTGCTTTAATTTCTTTCTCTTGTCTAATTGCTGTGGCTAATGTTTCCAGAACTATATTGAAGAGAAGTGGCGATAGTGGGCATCCTTGTCTTGTTCCTGATTTTAACATGAAGGTTTTCAGTTTTTGGCCATTCAATATGATGTTGGCTGATGGTTTTTCATAAATAGCCTTTATTAAATTGAGGTATAGACCATCTATTCCAATTTTTTGCAGGGTTTTTATCATGAATGGGTGTTGAATTTTATCAAATGCTTTTTCTGCATCTATTGAGAGGATCATATGGTTTTTGTCCTTGACTTTGTTAATATAATGTATTACATTCACTGACTTTCGTATGTTGAACCACCCTTGCATCTCTGGAATAAATCCGACTTGGTCATGATGGATGATCTTCTTAATAATCCTCTGTATTCTGTTTGCTAGTATCTTATTAAGGATTTTTGCATCTATATTCATTAAGGAGATTGGTCTGTAGTTCTCCTTTTTGGTTGTATCTTTCTCTGGTTTGGGAATCAGAGTGATACTTGCTTCCAGGAATGAATTTGGAAGTATAGCTTCTCTTTCAATTTCATTGAAAAGTTTGAAGAGTAATGGTAGTAGTTCTTCTCTAAATGTCTTGTAAAATTCAGCAGTGAATCCATCAGGGCCTGGGCTTTTCTTTGTTGGCAAGTTTTTAATTACATTTTCAATTCCTGATTAGTTTTTTAATTAGATTCAAGCTACTTTTCAGCAGAAATGCATTAAAATATAACAAACAGTGCTACTGAAAAGTTAGGATGGTAAGTCTCCAGGCCTCAGTATTTAATGAGCAACTTTCGTACCATAACCACCTCTGGCTCAGCATAACCTGTTTCCAACTTATACATAAGATTTAAGAGTTCACCTTAGATCTTTGAGCATCTACTCAAATACAGTGTATTACGTGGCTGGCGCTTGGAAGACTAAATATAGTGTGCCTTATAAACTGCGTGATAAACATTTGCTACTTAATACTATGAATTCTATGAACCACAATATATTTAAAAGTACTTACATCAGTTCAAAGCTATTGGGAGTGGTACCGATAAAGTAGCCCCCAGGGCTGAGTCTCTCACAAGCATTTCTGAGCATCATGTCAGCCTGCTCACTGGACTCAAAGGAGTAATGACAGACAAACTGACAACTGCAGATGTCAAAGCACATTTCTGGGTCACGAAATTTATCAAATAAAAGTTCCTGAAAAAAATTAAAATGGATTAATATTTTGAAGCAACTATAGCATAGATGAAAACTTTTTGGTAAATTAATTCCTAGAATTTAGAGTTCTTAAAAGTAGATAAGACCTGCCATCAATAAATCCTTTACATCAGTCTTCAGCTCTCTTTTCCTTTGCTGTGTATGAGGGGCATAACAAAACTATTTTTGTTCTAGCTTAAAAATTTTCTGATTCCTATTTTGATGGTAATTTAAAAACCTAAGGATTCTGAAATGTTTAATAATGAAGCCATCTAGCTGGGTGTGGTGGTGCATGCCTGTAATCCCAGCACTAGGGAGGCTGAGGCAGGAGGATCGCTGTGAGTTCAAGCCCAGCCTAGACTACATAGTGAGTTCAAGACCAGCCTAGACTACATAGTGAGTTCCAGGTCAGTCTCAACTACATAGTGAGACCCTGTCTCAACCCCCCCCAAAAAAAAACAAATGAAGCCATCAGATATGACATTTAAAGTTGATTCTTTCGACATTGGCATCTAAAATAAAAATGTTTAAAAGTTTCCAACTTTCTAGCAATATATTACACTTCTTTTTCACTTTCAAAACTGCAAGCAAAATGAGTATTTACAAGTTGATTAAAGGTATTTACAATTTTAAATGAGCTACAGGTCAGATAATGAGCATCCAGATCACAGGTTATCACTTAGATGGTGAGTGCTTGCCTAGCATAGGCAAGGGCCTGGGTGTGATCCTCAGCCACAAACACACAGTTCAGAAACAGACTGATGATGGTAAAAGCAGAAAGATTCTGATGTTTGGAGATTAATAATAATCTATATGGTGAACAAAATATCATTAGGTTCAGTTCTAGTTCAAAATACAGTCAGCCATTAGTACCCTCAGGTTCTGCATCAGTGGGTTCAAATAACTGCAAGTTGAAAATACAAGGAAAAAGAGACTACGTTTGTACAGAATTTTTCCCTGTCGTTACTCCCAAAACAATACAGTCGACATGGCACCAACACTAGGACAATACTGTAAGTATATAAGTACACACAAAGAAACTGGAGGATGTGCACAGGATACCTACAAACACTGCACTGTGTCATTTATTTGAGGGATTTGAGCATCTTTGGAGTTTTCCATCTGTGGGGGTCCTGGAACCAATCCCTGCAGATCCTGAGAGACTACTATACTAGAAAATAAATTTTGTTAAACCAAAAAGCAACAAAGTGATTTCAATAACTCAAATTATTAAAAGCAAATTCCCAGAAGTACCCAGTGGATTGATGAGGGGAACCTGTGATAATAGTCTCTAGCTGAAACTTAAAATGCATGTCCTAAGATTTTTAATGTTTCAAAGCACATTTTAACAAAAAAGCTGATTTAAAAAACAAAAAGAAAAATCTCTGTACCTTTGAAGAGTCAGCAGTTATAAATTCAGCATTAAAAAGATATTCATTGTCACGACGATTTTTCATATCCTCATACCGCTGCTGACACTGCTGGATGGAAATGTCGGCGATATCTGAAAGTAGAAGGAGAAACATCAGCAATGGCTGGAAGGGTGTCAGTGACTGTCAACGTGGAAGGGCAAAAATCTACACACATGGATCTCAACTGATAAACTTGGCATGAAACCCAGTGTTGAAAAGTTAAAACAAAAGTGTCTGTTCGAATGCAAAGGCTCTATTATTTTTTAAAAAAAGGAACCAAAAGCTTTCCTACAGGTACTGATACCAGAAAAGTTCCAGCAAGATTAATAAATGCTATTCAAAGTTAAAGGCGGAAAGATTAGATTCCAAGTGAAGGATGATAAAACCTAACACTGTATGCTGTTTACTTTTGGAAACACCAAGTTTTTATTTTCATAATACCATGTTTTGCCCTTTATCCTGTGTTTTGGGAGTGGCACTGTGATGCAAAAGCAATGGTGGGTGTAACACAGGCACTTCCACAGCACCGATAGGACTCATGGGAAAAAGTCAGTTTCACCTAGGAATACCCTTAACAAAGCAGAACATGATGCAATACCAACTCTTGAAAACATGTCTTTTAATAGCCCACGTGATAAAATGGGAGGTAGAAAAAAAATCCTCCTGCTACATAACAAGGTGTGACATTTCCTTAGGGGACAACATCAGCTGGACTGGCCACCCTTCACAGAAAGTCATTTTGACTTGAAAGAATGACAAACTATCATTATTCAGAAGTATCTGGTACATATTTTTTCAAAAATGAATGTTGCGGTTTTAAGGAAAACAATAGTATTTGCTGCTAAAATATGACTCCCAAGGGAAATTTCCAATTCTGAATAACTTGTATGTACGCATCATGGGATGAATATCTTCCCCATATTTAAAGCCTTTTCTGATCAGTGGTGATACTAAAAAAATGTGATTTCTTGGTGTCAACATACAGATTTGCATTACTTCAGTATGAACAGTATTTTCCAAACATTACAAAGCCATGCAGGAAGTACAAGACAGACCAATGGAACTTAGTATAATGCAGTACAAAATGTTTATCAATAGGCTTCAGATTGCATAATACAACTAACCTTTAAGCAACCACCATTTGTTGACTTTTGATGTAGAATCAAAGATGAACATCCACAATTACCTGAAGAGGCTATTAAAATACCTTTCATTTTATAGTCACTTATCAAACAAAATAATGTTATAACAGGTTTAATGAGAAACAATTAAGAATCTACTAGTCTATTATTCCAGACTCTAAAAGGACCAGTAGAAAAAAAGTGCCAGTATTCTAAATTTTATTTTAACGAATAAAAATGTATCTCTAAAATTCTCAGCATTAATTTCTCTTATGGTAAGTACCAACAGATACTCAAAAATGTCTTAGCCTTCAATAACTTTTAAGCATATTCAGGACTCATCACACCAAAAGATTTAAGAACTGATTGATGCCAGGCATAGTGGCACACACCTGTAATCCCAGCACTTAGAAGGCCAAGGCAGGTACACTGCCATGAGTTCAATGCCAGGCTCAACTACTTAGCAAGAGCCCACTAATAAAAAGAGAACTGCTGATGGACACAATGGGACAATACTTTGGAGGTGGCTGCTGTTCTTCCTCTAACTCATCACATTACAAGAATAGGACACCTGCAAGTCCCACTTCAGTGTTCAGATGGGTCTGTGTATTCAGGATGCTTAACTCATTCTCTTTTCAAGTTCCCATCAAACTTTCATTTATGGCTTCCAGATATTTTTAAGATTGTTGCCTGGATCTATTATTGCAGGTGAAAAATACTAATTTTCTAATCTACTATTATTCCTCCTCCATTTATTTACTATGAATTTTCAATAAAGAGGAATTTCCTGTTTCAACCACTCGGCTACCCTGACATATTATTTATGTTAGGTAAGAAAATGTTTTATTCTCTCTTCACATTTATGAGTTTCATACTAGTAAGTCTTTCAGCGAGCCCCAAGTGTGACCAATGAGGTCTTTTCCTTTATTTAATGATCAATCACTATTCTTTTGGATGTCTGAATTCGTATCATGGCCAGTGGAAAACTTAACAAGTTTGTCCTTTAGATATGACTCCTGTTATTTCTGATAGCTTCCTGCCTTTCTCGGGAAGGGTAACTGATCCCAGCCTCATTACCTGTATTACAAAGCCACCAGCAAAGTCCTGTAACTAGTTTTTAAAAACACACAAGTCATGCACAGCCCCCAGAAAACTTGCCACAAGATATTCTAACATCATGATGGTAAAGAAACCCTTATTTCCTATTCACTTAATTGATCACAACTATTCTCCTCTCCAATACCAATATTTATCTTACCAGTACAAACCAGCTTGCTAATTCTTCCTTTTCTCCACTTCAGCAAATCTCCACCTTTACCACATCCCAGGTCCAAAACAGTGATATCACGGGTTTTTTTCTGTCGTATCTTTTCTAAAAATTCCCCTAAAAGAGAAAAATTAGTCATAATAAATTACCCATTATTCATTTTTAGTAAAGCACAAACAGCTACCTTTAACAACCTTCTAACCTCTGCCACATAAATTTATTACTTTTATTTATATAGTTAATGTGAAATTCAAAATACTATATAACTAAGTTAAAGTTATCATGTATCATTAACATGTCCCCACTGGCTTGAACCACACTGGTACGACTGTGCCATGAATGACTGTACCATTTCTACCATCAGAAAGAGATGCAGGCAGCAAAGTGCTCGCTGAGTTACTGGATCAGCTGAAGGAGATTATTATCACATGACGAAAGAGAATTTTGCCAAATGTTCTCTAGCTAACTACCTATTTCTCTCATTACAAAAATAACAAATGTAAAATGGACTAAAAACCCTCAATTAAAAAATAAGAATAAATGATACAGCATGAAAAATCCAGTAAGTTATCTGCTTCAACTGAGAATAGCAAAGCAGAATGCACAGAGAACCTTAAGAACAGAGATTAAAAACTCCATAATACTCTAAAAGGTAGCCACTTGTTTATCCTAGGTAACAACTGACAGTCTGATAAACCATATTTTAACATGTTTTAACACTAAAACACAAAATGTACTTGAATTTAGTTATTCCTAATACTTCCCAGAAAACATTATTTTTCTTTGAAAAAAATCACTAAACTGTCAACAAAACTAGTAGATAATATTCAAAATTGGCACTTTATACTTTCTAGTATGTATAATTAAGCACATCTACTTAATGTGCTAGATATAAAGCAATAATTATATTTAAGTCATATTTTTTCCACTCACTTCCTTTTTAACTTCAAAGGTGAGTTTCCATAGATGTTTACTCCAAAAAGTTGATGTCTTCACCAATCCTCAAAGTAAATGCTATTTCTCCCAAGAAAACCACACAAGAAGAATAAGTTCAGTGGGCCATCAATTTTAAATCACTAAAAGCCCAGAGATAAAAATCATAACACTGACCATTTTCTTGACTAAATCAAATCCAAATGTTCAATCCAACAAAGTGCCATTGTGCTGACATTAGCCTACTGAAATAATTACTTAGTAGCACTAGCTAGCCTTAATTCTCACTCTAAAGAAGCACTCTGCCTTTGAAGTCTCACTAGTATCAATTAATCACTCATTAACATCCAAAGTACTCAACGAAATAGTAAAAGGCCTAAATTTGGCTCTAGCTTTATAAAGTCAAGGTTTGATCATCAAATGAGTAAGAAATAACAGATGCAACAGTTTGATACATGGTTAATACTGAGGAGGAAAAAAATCAGTGAGTAAATGAAAGCTAGGAGCTAAGGTTATAGATCAGTGGCACAGTGCTTGTCCACCACGGGCAGGGCCCTGGGTAAAGCCTAGCAGCACACAAAAAACAAATTAATTAATAAATTTAAAAGGTAAAAATTTATCATACCAATAAGGACACTTTTAATCCAATTATTGAAGTTTCTTAGGTAAAAAATACGACTTTGACTACGCTTCTCCAAACCAACTTCCTGAAGCTCATTGTAGTGGGCAGCCACTGCAGAGCTATGTCCTTCTAGCTTCTGAAAATAAAAGAGAGACCAAAATTAAGGGTCAGATCATGTTTAAAGAAAAACAAATGTCCCAGAAAATGTGACCTACCAAAGCATAATACACTACTGAAATAAACTGAGCATAACCCAGAGATCCCAGAAATTATTTCCAAAGCAAAGCTCTTCTAATATTCCCCATGAAAAATAACCCAGATTTAACATTTATCTTAATTTTTCATCTGTATAATTTTAGTGTCATTGTCATGCTTAATAAAACTACTACTCTCCCAGAGTTCTGATTTAATGACAATTTAATAAATGACAATCAGTAGAGGGAATTCCTACAAGAAGAAAACAGAATGTGTTACCATGTTTATTAAATTAGTATTACAAAACTGATATGAGGATTAAATAAAAAAAATCAGGTATGGTGATGCACCCTTGTAATCCCAGCTATTTGGGAGGCCAAAGCAAGAGGATCAAAAATTTGAGGCCAACTTAAAAAGAGACCTTCTAATAAAAATGAATGAATAAATAAACAGATCTGAGGATGTAGTTCAGCAGTCACTGTGTTCAATTCCCAGTACTGTAAAAAAAAAAAAAAAGTTATATAAAAGGATTAGAATTTAGTAGGCTGTGTTCCATACCAGTGACTTCTATTCTATTCTATTAATTTAATCCAACAGTTTTCCATCTTCTTTCTATACTACTCTAGATATTCTATAAAAACTCCATGGTAGGTGAAGGGCCCCAAAATACCCTCACTTCCCTTTTCAACCAAAGTGAGTTTTATATGTTTTACAGTTCAGGTTTAAGAGTAAGATTTTACCTGAAAAAACCTGCCAGAAGTTTTAAAACTGTATTTAAAATACAGCTCTCCTTTGCTACAAGGAAAACAAAACCTGGCCCACTTGCCACTTTCCTCTTTAGAGTTGACAGCAAAATTTTCTCATTCTTTCAAGTACTCTTTCAAACCAACTCCAGATTTTGCCTAGAATCACTTCCAATAGCAAATGATTTGCTATCCTTGCTTCATAATTCTCCTGCTAAACCAGGCTCTGGCATCCACTTCTCTAAAACAGTATGTAAACTACACTGGTAAGTTGGAAACAATCATAGTTTAATTCATTTAATAAAGGAACACAAAGCTGGGTATGATTTTGAAATTTATCAGCTCAAGTGACCATCATAACTACTTCAGAAAAGAGATGAACACTCAATTTAAAAAGGAAAAGGGTAAAATATCTAGACCTCACACTCCTGTCTTTTTTTAATTGAATTCTTTTTTGTACCGACAATCAAACTCAGGACCTTGCACTTAGGAGGCAGGTGGCAGCACGACTGAGATAAATCACCAGCCCACCTATCCTTCTTTAAACACTAAGAAAAAACAAGTTATAAAAACTGGCTTTCAAACTCCTTGTAAAAGAATTATGAAATAAAATAATAATTATTTCATTAGCACAAGTTTCACCTTAATAAGAATTTTGAGAGTTAAAAGCCTACTGTGTCTTAAGGCCGTCTGAATTAAAAACAGAACATTCTATCTGATTAAGACTGTATAAAAACCAGTATAGCCCAGCGTGGCAGCTCATGCCTTTAATCCCAGCACTTGGAACGCTGAGGTAGGAGGATTGCTGTGAGTTCGAGACCAGCCTGGGCTATACAGTGAACTCCAGGTCAGTCTCAACTACATGTGAGACTCAAAAACACCAAAATAAACAATAAAAAAATAAAAACCAGTATAACTTCACGTTTCCAGCTGATATACTGTATTACAAATAAAATATATTCCACATACTTTCTGCTTTTCAGCAACATCATCGAGTTCTAGCTTTCTCTTTTCCTGAATGCTGTCTCCTGTAGAAGGAACACTATCAGTTTCCATTTTTCTTTTCTTTGAAAAGCTGTCAGGATCACCTGAACCTTTTTCCTCTGGAACAATTTCAACATCAAGATTTCTTTTCTTGGATGGAGTATCTTCCCCATAACTTTCCTCTACAAGACCATCCTCAAACTTTTTTCTGCTTCTTGATATGTCCACTTGCTCACAGACAGGAGTTTTTTCAGAAAGTCCAGCCCCAGAAGCTGTTGAGGTTTCATTAATACTGAGTGAAGACTTTGTTTCACCATCTACTAATGCTTTCACTTCTTTAAAAGACATCTTTTGATATTCTTCTGCTTTTGTAGAATTTTCCATTTCTGATTAATTGATGGTAAAACGTCATAAACCAACACTGGAATGGCAAAAATTTTTATATTACTTATAAATACTAATGCAAAGACTTTAAAGCAAATTTAACTAGAAATTATGTATTCTGTATTTAATTTCAGTGATCAAAAAATAGTTTTTAAAGATTTCACTGTAAAGTGTTATACATGTATATTGTATGAATTTCTGAATATTTAGTAGTGTCAATTATAACTTTCCAACACTTCTATAATCTTATTCACAGAAGTCATTAAAACTGATAAATGCAGTGGAAATATACAAATGCAGGTTGAGCATCCCTAATCCCAAAACCCAAAATTCTTCGGAATACCCAAAAGGTGCACATATTCCACTAGTAAGCAATGGTGCTTACTCAAGAATTAAATAAAAAATTACTCTTTTCCCCAATTTATGTGTACCTTTTGTACAAAAATGTTAGAGCAAAAACATTATTGGGCCAGGGATTTAGCTCAGTGGTTCCGTGCCTGCCTCTCAAGCACAAGGTCTCAAGTTCAATCAAAACAAAAGCAAAGAAAACAAAAAACATTACTAAGTTCATTATACTAAAATACTTAACACGGAAAACAGGTATTCCTTTTGCTAAGGGACTAAGTGAATCAAGAAAGGGAAAAAAATTTACAAGAACTTCTGAAATCTTTACTTCATAATGGGTATTCCAGTTAGGTAAAAAGGGCAGTGGAAATGGCTTTAGACAAGTTCAAAACTCAGCCTTTCAATGACTACTAATCCCGTCCCTAATATGTTCTTAGGCCTATATGTAAAATGAATGCGAGAAATAACTAAACTATTTATGGGACAGGATTTGTTACTAGGGCTGACCTAGTAAATTATTCAGTAAAGTGACCAATCTCATATTACAGAGGAGCTCATTGTGAATTACGTCAAGAGGACTAAAGCCTATACACTATTAAATTTTAGGCTGTATTATTCAAGTTAAGTAGAGACGAAAAAGCAAAAAAAAAAAAACTGTGAACTTCAGTAAATTCTGATTAAATTCAAAACTGAAAACTATGAAGAGAAGTTTTTTTAAAAAAAGCTTTGTCGCATTAAAAAAAGTCAAGTTGCCTAAGAGTTAAAAACAATCCACCAAAACCAGACATTTGAAGAGATACTAGCCTTCACTAACCAGAGCTGGAGATAACAAAATAGTAAGAGGTACCAAATAGGAAGAAATAAATCAGAAAAAAAGTAAATTTTTTGCAGAATAATAAATTAATCACCGAATTATCAAATGCTTATTTCGCCTCCTCTGTCATTTAGTTCCTAAAAGGAAAAACATTTATTTTACATTAAAATAAAGCAATGTAACATATTATCTTTAGCTGTAATTATCTTAAGGATTTAAGTGAACTTTTTTTTACACAGGCTACTATTCCTGCATAAGTAAAATTTAAAAAACATAACCGGTCAGAATAAATGACAGAGTAGTTCAGACGACTGCAGTGATTATCAAGAACGTTTAAAACTGAAAGTAGAACAGCTCACTGGGAAAGCGCTTGCCTGATATGAGCAAGGCCCAGGATTGGACCTCCAGCACCGCAAAAAAAACTAACAAAAAAGGAAATAATTAAAATATTGCAAAGAGAAGAACTGTCTCCCGAGAATCCTCGAGGAGGGAGCAAAGGGTACTAGAGCTGGCTGCCGTCCGAACCGAACCACGGTCATCCACCAGCCAGTCTCTGCGTTCCATGGTCCCTCGCCCGGCTGCCCTCAGCCCACGACCCGCGCGCTGTCCGATAGCCGGGCTCGGCTCAGGCTTCGAAGAGCCGCTCCAACCTTCCGCGAACCCACACCTGGCCCGGCCACCTCAGAGCAGCGCCCATCCGGTTCGGTGGGCGCACAGTCCGACGCTCCTGCGCGCAACCGCTCCACTCACCAACGAAACCGCCACGACTGTTTGCGGAAACGCCGGGCCACGACACGCGCGTCTTGTGGTGTCACTTCCGGGACGAGCTCTCGTCCGCGACACCGGCGTGGACGTCACATCCTGCGCGCCGGAACTACGAGTCCCGTGGTTCCCTGCGCGCGGGCAGCGGGGCTGCTGGAGCACGTTGCTGGTGGGCGCGGC